AACCCCCGTGCCTATCCTTCGCCTCTCTTTTGTTTGCATCTTTCTACCAATATTTCCTGTGGCTGTTCCATGAAATACAGAAATCACGGTTCACTGCTGCCCTGATTACCAGTTTCAGCAAGAATGCCCTGGCTTGTCTAGGCCTAGCATCAGTCCTAGAGTTTCATGTTGGGGAGCTTGCCCTGCTGCTGCCCGTGCTGTGGTGTACCTGTTTTGTGGATATAACTCATTGCTGGGACTCTTGATTTAGCATCTCACATCAGCACTATAATGAGAAAGAAAAGAAAAACCCTCATAGCACACAGGTGACTCTGGGAAAGTTAACTGCTGGCCTTCAGCTGCCACGACATAATCTGGGATTCCCACAGCCTCTGAGAAAAGCCTGCATTTAGCAGTGCAAACACTGCTGCATTATCACACCTCTGTGTCAAGGTGAGACTGCCATATAAAGAGAGGGATGCAGATACCCCAGAGTCCTTTTTGCGCACCCCTGCCGAAGGAATGAAATTAATCTTGTTCATTCTTCTGTCATCAGGTATGTTTCCATCGTTTGTTTATTCTTGCTCCAAGTCTGTCTTGTAGGTGCCTTCCATATCTGCTGCACTGATAGGCGCAGAAACAGGTAATTCATGAAAAGTAAAAGCTGAGTAAAAGAATTACTTTTTTAAAGAAACTGCCTGTGCAGGTCCCCATGTCTGGAGGGCAAAAACTCAAAATGCCTTAACTTTACCACCCACGTAGAAGCAGAATTTACTCCCTGTCCCATACCTAGATCACACTGCTCTTGAGATTTGTGACTGACAGCTAGTTGGAGCCAGATGTGTATCATACATTAGCAAATGCTTTGCAACTCTAACCTTCCTGGTTTTTTCTTCTTAGTGGGCGTGGCTTCTGCCGCTGCCTTCCCCCGGGCAGTGTGGCAGCTGCGTAACATGATCAAATGCACTATGCCAGACAGTGACCCACTGAAGGATTATGCTGACTATGGTTGCTACTGTGGCCTGGGGGGCAGTGGAACACCAGTGGATCAACTTGACAGGTTGGTGAGACTCTCTCTCTTTTGGAGGTTTCAGCAGCACCATCCTCCTTTTCAGGTGCCATGCACTTTTCTTCTCAGGGACTGATCCAATGCAGGGTAATGCAGTATCTCACTTTGTTGCCCCATCTCTGTAGTTAGACATCCAAATAGCTCCACCTGCCTCATTTTACTGTTCTGTGTGGTTACTGTATTGGAGAATTGAAGTGAATGGACATGAAGAGTTCTTGTAATAGCCCTGTAATAGTATACAACCAAGAAAAGGTAATGGGAGACTTATTTCAAGTGGGTTATATCTCAGGGCTGCATGTGTAAGTGGTGATACTACAGTGCCATTCAAGGATGCAGTACAGATGTGATCAACTATGATTTTGGCCCTTAACTATTTTCCTTTTGCAGGTGCCCAGTGTTTGCTAATTCCAGGATCCTTTTTATCTAAACACTTAACCTTATTAGTTGGCTTGTTCTAATCTAAGTCATCTGAGCTCACATCTTGATTTACCTATTCTGAACATTTCCCAGGTGTTGTCAGGTGCATGACAGCTGCTATGCTGAGGCCAAGAGATACTCAAAATGTAAAGGAATTATGGACAATCCTTACACAGAGATATACCACTACAGCTGCCATGATCAAGACATTACCTGTAGCGGTATGTCTGTTTCTGTGTTACTCTGTTTAAGCTACTTCTACTTTTCTGCTAAAGAAAGTTAGCTTAGACCAAACCCACATAAAAAAACATTTCCTGAACAGGGTCAGCCCACAATTTTGGGGGGGCCCTGCAAGATATAATTTTGGGACCCCCTGATCCATTGAAAAATCAAGATTGCAGTTAATTGTAGTATAAACTTACCGAAATAAAATAGTCGGGCCTGGGCTGTGCATGTGGGCTGCACTGTGGGGGATGTGGGGTGGGGGCAGCATGTGCTAGGGACACCTGGGTTTCCTCCTTAGGACCATGAAGGGGCTCCCTGCCTGCATCAAGCCCTTTAAATACGGTGCAGGTGGCAGGGGACTAGCAGGGCAGTACCCCTTGGCTGTGGGGCCCCCTGTGGCTACAGGTTCTGTAGGATAAGATGGGGCCAACCCTGTTCCTGAAAGTACTGTCCACCATGCCATCATCCACCTTGGCAGCGATGGCATTTAAGCAAGAGTTTATCTTCCCCACTCTAGCAGTCCCCAGTGCAACACGGTTTATGTCAGGGGTTCCCTAAAGGTACTATGTGAACTTGCTGGAAGTGGTATGCTACCACAGGGAAGTCTGTCCCTTGAAAGAGGTACTGGATCTGAGGGTCAGCTAATCCTAATATCTGAGGAAGGGTATTCAAGGGAGCTCAGGCTAGCTGAGGAATGTTACTATGGGTAAAACAAGTAGCACATTTTTAACACAGAACTCCTGGAGGGAAAGAGTGCAAAATCATGTGTTAGTGTCAGGAGGAAGGCTGGCAAGACCAAGGGGAAACTAGTGGGCTGAAACCTATTTGAAACACTGCATGACCCTAAGAAGCAGAGTTTTGGGACCCCAGATCTAAGGGGAAAGAGTGTAACAATCCAGGAACCAAAGGCAGTTCTGGAACAGGGCTGGAACTCAGGCTGTGGTGTGCTGAAGTCTGCATGAATCACTACGTTAGCCCAGGGAAGGGGCTATGAAATCCCTTTCATTAAGAGGAAGGTGTCCTAAGTCCAGGGACCAGAGCAGGAAGAGACCTGTGGAAAAAGACTTGCCAGGAAGACCAAGGCTGCAGTGAGAACAACAGAGCTTGCTGGCTCCAATAGAACAGGAAGGGAACTAGGAGCCTGAAGCCTTGGAATGAGTGTGAACTTGGGCAGAAGCTGCCTAGTGCTCAGGAAAGCCACCCCACTTCCAGCAGCACTGGCACAAAGAATTTTGATGTCCTCCCTTTTAATGTGCAACCAGAAGGGGGTAGGCGCCAGACAGTGACCCAGAGCAGCAGCTCAGCAGTGCCCAAGCTGCCCAGCTTGCTTCTGCACATGCCCACCCTCCTGAGGCAGCCCCCACTGAGCAGGGAAGAGGGGTGTGCAGTTTTGCCACCCCTTCAGTTTGGGTTACTCCAGGAGAGACTTCCCCCACCTCATCTTCTCCATCCACTCTCCCAACAAGAGGCCCCTGTACTTCAGCCAGGGCCTCTTCCTCACCTGCTCTAAGGCTCCCACTGAACTGCCTTTTCCTTCCAGCGGTCCCCAGGCATGGCCAGCAGCAGCTCTCATTCCAAGTCTATAGCAAATTTAAAAACTTCTACATAATGGACCCTAAAATAATAAATATGCCCCCAGCTGGGAAGGTTACACAGACCCAGGCAGTCAAGCTAGAAAGGAGTGAGGGGTGGCTGGTTTGGCTCCTCCTTCAGGGAATGCCACCCCTCTGACCTTGCCTGTCTGCACTTAAACCTGCTGGAAGGAATGGTGCCCGGGCAGGGTAACGAGCCAGGTACCAGCTCCCTGTGCTGCACAGGGACCTGTGGGCATCTAGCACTGCTGGTGCCATGTAAAGAGAGGGATGCAGTTTTATGTGCATCTATATCTACCATATACACACAATTTAATATTTAACAAGATCTAATATATATGAATGAGAGAGAGAGATGGAAAGTCTTACGCTAGATGGTGTGTGTGTATGTGTGTTTTTTCCCCTTCCCCACCAAAAAATAAAATCTAGCACTGCTGGCCTTGGAGCAGGCCTGAGCTCGCTGTGCCTGGCCCCGGTACTTCCGTGAAGGCAACGGCGTGTGGAGCACTGCGGCCCGGCCCGGGGTGCAGCGTCCAGGCGGCTGAGGCAGCGCACGTCCCGAAGCAGGCGCTGCCGGCGGGGCGGGCTGGTGCGAGCGGGGAAGAGGACAGGCGGGGACGCGGTGCGCGGTCGACGAGGCCGGCTCAGGCTGACGACGCCTTCCCTTGCCCTTGCAGCCAGGAACGACCCGTGCGAGGCCTTCATCTGCGAGTGCGACCGGCTGGCGGCCGAGTGCTTCGCAAAGGCACCCTACAACGAACACCACAGGGCGCTGGACGCGACGACCTACTGCCACTGAGCGCCCGCGCTTGCGTAATAAAGCCTGCAGCCTTGCACCGCCTCGCCCCTCCTTCCGCACCGCCCCCTCCGGTGATACAGGCCCATTGTCACGTGCACAGCCCCTGGGGAGGGGTTCCCGGGCCCTGATTGGCTCCTCAGGGATCGGGGTTCCAAACGGGCGACCATTCTTAGCGCGAGACAGGGAGCAGGTGAGCTCCGCCCTTCGCAGCTGCTGGCGCTAGCCACAGCCCCGCCCCTCCCCTCCCGCCAGCGCCACTCACAAACGCCCGCCCCTTCGGTCCGGCCAGGCGTCGCCGCGTTTCCCCTGTCCGGACGTAGTGAGGAGCTTTCCATCCTGGCAGGGGCTGGGCAGGTGGGAAGAGCAGCCCCCCCGCTTTCACCCTTGTGGGGGGGCAGACTGAGGAGCCTTGCTGGCTTGCCTTCACCCCCCCACACCCGTCTGTTCCCGCTGGGTGGGGACGTGGCCCCAGCACTGCCCCGGGGGACACTCGGCGGGAGGGTCGTGCAGCCTTGCCAAGGGGTAGACCCAGAGCCATGTTCTCCCAGACACAGGAGGCCTTGGGGCCTGGTAGTGCCAGCAACAGCAGCTGCCCTGCTGTTCCCTGCAGAGCCTGACACTAGGGCAGCGCTGAGCTCTAGTGCTTAAGGGACTCTGAAGGGGAAGGGCAAGGGGCCCTTTCACTCAGTGGAAAGTAGCTCTGCCGGCTCCTGTTTACCTCAGCCTGGTTTCTGGTGGCACCTGCTCTCTGGCCAGGTGCAGGATGGAGACCTTGGATGAGTTTGATGATGAGTACCCCCTCACCGTGTCATTCTGCAAGCTGATTTCCCTAGAGGACTTTGAGGAGCAGTCCTTGTCCTACACTGAACAGTGCCTGCAAGAACTGGTCACAAACATGGAGCAGAGCCCAGGGATCTGCGAGAGGGCCATGAGAAAGCGGAAGCAGGTGGAGAAGGAAGAGGCTGGCCTGGTATCGTTTCTAAAGGTACCTGCTGTGCCTTCATGGAGAACAGTTCCCCACAGACTACCAAGGTTAAGGGAGGTCAGGTGTATCCAGACCCAGGAATTGCAGCTGTTCTAGTCCCAAGGACAAATGAGTTTGTAGTTTTGTCCCAATGCCCATCCCTCCTCCTCCACAGGCTGCTTCTGCCCGGGCCATGAGGGGAGGAGAAAAGTATCTGTTTGCTGAATAGTACCTGAGATTTTTCTGAAACCTGCCACTCCAGGGTTCCCTCCCCCTGGCCTGGGATAACAGCTGGAATATAGCTCTATCATATGCCTTGACAGACCACCTGTGAGGAATGAAGTGCTAGCCTGAGATCAGAATCTGGGTCCCCTCATGGGCGCCATTACTGAGGTTGCTTATCCGCCAAATCCCAGGTGGATTTTAGCTTTACTGAAATCCATCATTGTAGGTATAAATGTTTACCTTGGTCAGTAGGAATCTAACCATGTGATTTCTGCTAATGGGAACTTGTCATGGGAGTAAGTTTCCATCATGCCATGGAAAAAATTACTTGGTTTTTTAGCTATCTCTTTAGGGGGCGGGGAATGAAGCGCTACAGAAGCTCTCGGTGAACCCCTCCTTTTCCTGCAGTAAGGGATTTTTAAGTTAAAGATAACTTGAGCACACACTAGAGGCCTCCAGCTTCGGTGTGACATTGGCTTTCCTCATGTAAATCTGATGGAAAAGCTGAAGGCATCTGATGATTCTGATACAGCTTATACAGGTCTGCATTTGTTTTAGGCCTGCAAGCCTGATTCTCATTTATATTCTGGCTGTTTTATACAACTTTGGTCATGCGAGGGACCTTAAACTAGCTATAGCTGTCCCCCTGAAAATACCTCTTGCGTCAAAAGTCTCCTGACCAGTATAAAAGGTCATTGCTCCTATTCACAGCCCTTAGCAACAGTACTGTTACACCATAGCTCGTCTCTGCTTTCCAGGGTTCATAACAGATTATGAGAAGTAGAGCATAGTAGCAGTTTAGACTGATCATAACTTATGCTGAAGCTAGGCAAGGCCATGTACACCACCAGAAAGGTATATGAAGACTATTTGAAGTTGCTTTGTGACCTCATATGCCTCCCTGCCCCAAGTTCAGGAACAGATTGACCAAAAATGCAAGTTCCTTATGCTGGGAGAGTGGGAGAGTGTTTGGGGATCTGGAGCCATACATAAGACATCACACACATAATAGTTGGTATACGGCAGGAGTAGGCAAAATGTCAGATTGCAGTTCTGCCCTGGCTGTGGACCATGCTGTGAGATGACTTGTCTGCCCCAGCCCCAGGGCAGCTACCTGCCCAGCCATGAGCCCTGCCAGTGCTGCTGGAGCTCTCTGGAAACCTTGGCCTTGTGCTGTCACAGCCTTGCTGCCTCTGGGGTCTCCATAGAAACTGGCTGCAGCAACATGGGCAGGGGCTGCTGGGAAATGGAGTCTGCCGTGGGCCCTATCCAGCCCGTGGGCTATACTTCGCCTGCCTCAGTATGTGGGATGCTGGGAAAATGGTGAGATTATTTTATGACCCACCAGCTCTGTCTTTGTTATTGAACCCCAGTAGAGGTGTAGAGGTGAACAGTCAGTGCCTCAACTTCCCTTTCTCCTAATGTTTTTTTTTAGGCCAAGTTTTTCGGCACACTTCAAGGGGAGATGAATTGCTGTAACTATGTGGGGATCGCAGAGATGCAAGAGAAGGTGGCACAGTTGAAACGAGACATGCAAAAAGCAAACAGCTATGCTCGGGGTAATCCCTGTATTTAGTCTCCCTTTGGGCCTGGGGCCACGATAGGAATTTTTCCTCCCAGACTTCTGGTTTCCTCTACCCTCTGGCTGCTGTTGCAGAAGAGGAAATGAAGCAGTATTATGAGTGGATGCCTGTCCTTATTGGCAAAGGTTAAATCAGGGGCCTAAGCACAGGCTTGTAAGAGCTAAGCTGTTGCAATGCAGGCTTGAAGCACAGCATGCTTGACTCCAGCTTTCATCAGGCATGCAGTTTTATGCTTGGTTACTCAGACAAGATCCAAGTAAGAGAAGTTGTGGTATTTAGCTAGACTGTCTCCAATGCTTTTCATCTGTAGATCTCAGAGTACTTCACCAAAGTATGCAGAGTTATCACCTTGACTATGTTGGAGGAAACAGGCCCAGGGAGGTAAAATTGTTCTCTAAGTGTCACAGACTGGGTTGATGGCAGAGTTGGAGACCATGGCCAAGTTTCTTTAATCCAACTATATGATGCTCTGGTCTCTGGACAACACAGCTTCCCCAGTTTGCTTCACTGTCCTTGGCCAAAGTTTTCTCTCTTCTTCCTATGGGGCTGTTGTGTGCCCATCTACCACCCCTTACCTCAAAGCTGGCTGCTGTTTAGGGTTTTTTTTAGGTACATGGTTTATGGAGCACTTTAAAAACTTGAGGACAAAAATATGTAGGAAAAGTTGAGTTCTGGTTAATTAGCCTGCTTATACTCTGATTGTCATGTCCAGTTCAGCACACTCCAGGGAGATGGCTCTGGTGTATCTCTATAACTCCTCCTGCCTATTGGTTACAAGAGCAGCAGGTACAGATGCCATGTGTGAGAGAGAAGGAGAGAGAAAGAAAGAAAGAGAAAAAGGAGGGGAGAGGGAGTTTCTTCCCTCCTCACTCTGATCTAATTGGTAGTCACGACTCTTTAGGTCTACACACAAGTCTTTATAATTGCCTAGTTCTGACCTACCTAGTCAGAATAGTAATGAAAGGACAGCCCATGGGCAGGGAAGAGGACCCTGCAGCCCCACTTTAGCCTCTCATGTATGGAACTGTGTAACAGGGCCCCTACCCCATTACTGAGAAGGGGGAACAAACCCTGGGGCCAGTTGGCCATGCAGGGCCCCAGGTGCAGATTTAAGGGTGCAGCGGACTCACGTGAATGCTTACTATAGAGCCAGCAGCAACAGCAACCTCAGGGGCCGAGGGCCTGCATAGAAACACCGCAGGGTCCAGAAACAAGAGGTCTCCCTGAGGCTGCTTTAGCAAGCCAAATCAGACAACACCTGCAGCAGCTCAGGAATTCAAGTGACCAGCTGGGGGCTGTGGTGGGCAACCATATAAACCCAGGCCTGAGTCAGAGTGGGGCAGTCTGGCCCTGGAAGCTGTAGAGGAGAGTGTGGGGGACTGCAGAGCTGTCTGAGGAACAGCTGGTAAGATGCTGATGATTTATAGGTGGATAGAGTCCAGAGTAAGAGGAAGCTTGGTTGTACAGTCTATGGGCTAGGCTTAGGTTTGAGCCCAGTGTGGAGCTAGTTTGTGTTATAGCCAGGGGGCTAATCTCTTTAGTTTATTCTAGTGTTTGCGGGTGGGACTGTGAGGGCTGTAGTGGAGGTCCCATTAGTGTTCTAAGGGCACATGCTTGCCTTGAGCCATGCTGGGGGCAGGTTCAATGCATACTGAGGGAGCAGTAAGCTTGGAGCAGGGCAGAGTTGGGGAGCTAGGGAACCCAGAGCCTGGGGCAGGGTAGAGTTTGGGGCTGGGGAGGCCTAGGCTGCAGGTACCAGTGACAGAAAAAGGGGGCTGAGGCAGGGAAAGGCCAAGTCCCAACAAGAATATAAAGACCTGCAGTAGCCTGGTGTCAAGTTAGGACCAAGTGTCCTGAAACACTTAACTAGCCCTGGGAGCCAGAGAGTGAAGCCAGGCTTAGGTAAATTTGAACTCTTCCAATAATTGCATATGCTTTGAAAGGACTGTGTTCACCACAGACTGGATTCCAGTCTCTCAGTGAGGCCTGCCATATTTTCCTTTTATTTGCATCCTTTTGGATGTGAACTACTCTGGAGGTTAGAGGATATTCTCCAGAACATAGAAGTGGTCCAGCAGCCTTTCTGTCAGGCCTGGCATCCAGTCTTTCAGCAGCAACAAAGGCTTGAGGCTCCAGTAAGGATAGAAAACCTCCCGTTGTCGCAGTACACCAGCCCGCACCACTTTCTGGGCACATTCCTCCTTTGGATTTGCTGTCATCCTGACTTTATCACCAACAGATTTCACAACATTGTCTGAAGTAAAGGGAACAATTATCAGAAGCTGATCTCTCTTCTGTCCTTTTTCCAGAGTAAAGGAGAATGTGGTGCAAGTGGCTGAGCTACAGGAGGCAGCTCTTGAGACTTTTCTCTAATGCTGAGACTGCTTCTAGTACATCTCTTGACCTCCTATAACTTCTTGATACTTACTCTTGCCCTTGGCCTTGGAATTACATTATTCCCTTCTGCATTACTTATTATAGCCTAATGGCTGTCTCTCTACCCAGAAGCAAAGTTACAGCATACTGTTCTCTTACCCGTGTCAACATATCCCAGAACAGCAATTGTGACTGAGAGATTGATCTTCTGAAGGTGCAACTCCCTGCGTAGTGAGCTGTAGAATCCTTCCAGAGCAAACTTGGCTGCACTGTATGAGAGAGCAAACGGGGCTCCCATACGACCTGAGAGTTAAAGTGATAGAAATAAGTGAGAATTTTTTTCAAGGAAATGGTTAATTCAGAAACTGTTATTGGCAAGGTTAGGCAGTTAAGAACAAACTGGAATTTCTCCTGCAGATATCAGTGTAAATACTGTTCAGGTTATTTCTGTTTCATATCTGATAAACTAAATGAAGAAGGTTTCCAGCTGCAAGATGGGACAGTTCTACCAGGTTTTGCTGGGTTTGTGTAAGACCTCATAGTTTGAGAGCTGAACCATTTTAGCACCTGGGAAGAAACCGCCCAAGGGGCCTGATGCTGTGGTCAGCAGTGTTGATGAGTTTCGTGGCATTTTGCTATGATGTACGTTACTCTGACTATCCCAGCAGAGACGGCTGCATTTCATTGGTAGGTGTGCAATCCCAGTGAACAGTTTTAGATCAGTTTGTAAAGAGCATTTGGAAGACTAATTTAGAGAAGAGTTGCAGTGATGCCTCCTTAGTCACCAAGGAGTTAACAGAGCTTCCCTGGAACTGAAAGCTCTTGGGACAGGCAGGAAATGGAAAATATGTTCTCCCTAGTATGGTTGGGCATGGGGCCAGGTTGACTTAGAGTAGTACAGGTCAGGTAATTCACTGGCAGGGAGCATCTTTCCTTACCACTCATGGAGGAGATGACAATGATACTGCCCTGAGACTCCTTCAGCATACTCATAGCTGAAGCAGTCAGCTGGACATAGCTCAAAAAGTTGACAGTCATGGAGCTGGTCACAGCTGTCATATCTCCCTGAAATGGGCCAAATGAACCAGTTCCTCCAACATGGTTTAAAACCAAGTAGTCAAGGCCTCCTGGAAAAGAAAAGGAAACATAGATTCAGAAGGGAGCATATGGATCCGTTTTGGGGTCAGGATGGCTGGGATACAGTAGTCTTCCCTCTATTCTTCAAGACACCACGCTGTCCTCTCAGTGCTGCAACCTCCCTTGTGCAAGGGAGAAGTGTTTCAGGAAAAGGCAATGCAGAGGGCAGGTGTCAGTGACCCAACAGAGGTCCCACTTCCCATTTTTCAGAGGACAGTTGTATTTTGCTATGAACCTGGAAAGCATACCTAGTTTGCTTCCAGCTTCTTCAATGACTCCCTGGGCTGAACTCAAGTTGTTCATGTCGGCCACAACATACCTGGCAGAACTTGCCCCCAGTTCCAAGCACTTCTTTGCCACCTGGAGAGAAAAGAGCAGCCTTCAGCACAGCCAAGTCCAGAGGACTTGGTGCTGCTGCAAGCTACACATAGCAGCTGTTCTATGGCACAGGGGAGAGCATGTAACCATTTGCTTCAGTTGGACCCTGATCAAGGATGAGCCTGGAGCTCACTTAACATGACAAGGAAGAACTAACAGTAAATGAGGAGTTACACTGGGAAGGAGAGCAAAGAGGTGATGGTCTAAAGCAGTATGCTCAAGGCCAAATCCTGGGCTTAAGTGTACACACACAGCTCCTAGGAAGGCCATAGTTTCTAATGGGGTAGCCACTCCAGTGCCCTTTGGTGCTGGGATGGAAAATGATGTTTAAAAGGAACCCAGAAGTTCTGTTTCTTCTCCCACTTCGGGTTGCATTCCCTTGGGGTTCTCACCTCCTTGAGTTGCTTCTCCCTCCGAGCGGTGATGATCAGGTGGGCTCCCATCCGGGCAAACTCATAGGCTATTTGTTCCCCAATCCCAGTGCTTGAACCTGTGACCAGCACATGCTTCCCTTGCACCATATCTGGAGGTTTAAGAGACTCATGTCAGGAATTTTGCTCCCTTCCCAGTACTGTGAGCATTGGTGCTGTCATAGCAGCTTGCAGAACCCCAGAACATTCAGCACTGAGTCCTGATTCTCTAAATCCCACAAAAGGAAGAGGAAAAAGGGCCTCCTTGTATGTAAAATGGGTGGAGTGGTGCTTTCCTCCTCCAAGAGGGGTCAAAAGTGTCACTTTGTAAAGTACTGAGAGCTAACAAAAACCTTTTAAAATTGGGTAGTAGTAGCCCCTTGGATGTTCTAGAGGCCATTGGTCTTCTGTGTAATTGGACAAATTAGGCGTGGAAGGACCCATTGCTTCATTCTGTTCTGTGGCCAGTGCAGAATAAGCTATGTCTACTAAAGTCCAGTTCAGGCTACCTTTAAATGTCAAAGTGGCAGGGTTTCAAACACTTTCCTTGGGAGACCCTTCCACAGGCTGTCACATCTCCCTGCCTTCCTGGTTTTGCCTGACACTACAGAAGAGTTCTCAAAGTTTATTATCTCCCAGTCCCCTGAGGCAGCTCAGGGCAAGTACCAAAACTCT